TGATTATGAAGGTTAATTGGGATGTGGCTAACAAAAAGGAAATACTGTGGATTAAATGGATCCACAATAAATACCTAAGGATCCTGCGTTTTGGGACTATAAACCGAAACATGATGACTGTCATTACTGGAAGCAGATGCTAGGGGTTCGTGACATCTTTAGTGGAATGCAAATTGACGACAGATTCACTATTAGCAAAGGATATGCGTGGCTCAGAGAGGAAAAACCAAAACCTGTGTGGTCAAAGTGGGTTTGGAACAGATCTACTCCTCCTAAGGTTAGTTTTATCTTTTGCCTGGCATGTCGGAGAAGGCTTTTAACCAAGGATCGAATAAAAAACTGGAGAGATATCGACACAACCTGCTGCCTTAGTGGGAGAGCTGAGGAAACACTGGAGCATCTCTTCGGGATGTGCCCTTTCACGGTGCAGGTTCTGGATGAAATTCAGAAGCACAGAGTGAATTTGTCTGGCTGGAAGAAGTAGGCAATAACCTGATGAGAGTGGGGAACAAACAGGTGAAGTCCATGAGTTGTGCAATCTGGGCTATCTTCTTGTATGGTATGTGGAGAACGAGGAACTCTGAAAAGAATGGGAAGAAGTACAATGAGAAACAAACATTTGATTACATTAGTTTTTTTGTAGACAAGTATATTGCGTTTAAGATGTAATAGTTGTTGTTGTGATGTGGTTCTGTACGAACAGTTATATGGAATAGAATTGGAAGTTTTCGATTCAAAAAAAAAAATCAGCCATTAAAGTTAAGGATAAAATGAAAGTTGAAACTATAGGTCAGTACAGTAGTAGGACACAAATACTTGTCAAACAAGAGGCCAATGTTTAGGAAATACTGTGTACTGAAAGGAATAAACAGTGCAGATCCAATGTGGGACTGATAGAATTCGAGATTAGTGGGGAAAATAAATGAAGGATAGTCTTTATCAAATTATGAAATCAGGATCTAACTTCATAAATAATAAAGATGAAGGAAAATCTTTATTAGAATATGAGCAAGAATCTTTAACTCATATACATAGTAAAGCCAAGGAGAATCTCCAATAATAAACATTAAATTACTTTGTTGATAACTTTTACAAATAAGCCTCAATATTTATAGAAGCCAAATTAACTACCAATCCCTAGAGTTAAGCCCCACTACCACATTACCTAGTAAGTATTCCTAGACTTTAGGCTCACTACCACATTACTTAGCAACTACTCCTAGAATTTAGGCCCACTTACACATTATTTACTACTTAGTAAGTAACATACATAAAATAAAATATTTGACCTCATAAACAAATGACCCAAACTGACTCTACTATAAGTATTAATAACATACAATAAAAGCATTTGTGGCACTCTATCAGGGACATAGCCCATAGGGAGACTCTTTTTCGTTTGACAAAGGCAAGAAGTAGGAACCATGAGAGGACACTGGTTGGATTTGTCTAACAGACGGTATTGTTTCCTCTCGTGCAATGGATAAACCACATGATCTCTCCCCATCTAAATGTAACTAACATGCGTAATGAAACACCAGCAGAACCAACAAAGCAAATTTGATACCACTAAACAAGTGAAGTTTAAAACCAAATTGTTACGTCTAGATTAAAACAAACTAGTCAGTAGCATAAACCATTGACATTATAACCCAAACTGCAAAACACATTATAACACAAACTGCACAATTCACCTTGTTTTATTCCCCCCATCATAAAAAGATTAACAGGCATACTGTGATTCACATTGAAAGCAGAGAGATAGTATGTTGCTTAAAAGGCATTTTTACGACATCTATAGCTCACAAGAACAACAAGTACACATCAATATCCTATGGAATGAAGCAAAAGAAAGTTCATTCAGTGAGCATTAGCAATTTAAAATTGCTGGAGGGAAGATGAGGTAGATGTAAATGAAAGCTGACCAGAAAAAGACTTGGCCATATTCCTCTATAGAGTGCAGTCCATCCTTCCTCTTTCAATATGGTTCGCAGAGCATCTGAAGGGGCACCAGGAAAAAAGTATACAATGAAAAAAGCTGCTGCATGAAATCACATATTTAGAAAATTCAGGCAACATAACAAAGAAGCCTGCAATCCCATGTCCCGCACCTTCCCCCATGACCTCTAGCAAGAAGCATTTGTCTTAAAGAATTCATATTCACACTCCTAAATTCATGAACTCCAACCAGATAGTGTTAAAACTGGAAACGTAGCATTCGCATATGGAAGAGCCCAAATAAACTCGCATAAAAAGCACAAAACACCTTCACTTGCCACCACGATCATATAACCAATTCTCTTCACTACATGCAAGGTCATGGAAGACATAATTCAAAATCTTCCCAACAATCATGTAGTTTAAAACCAGAATGCACTCTACAAAGCTTTAGCTCATTGATTGTGCAAGTGATTTAAGAGGTCCTTATTCCTCTATGACCTATGAGTCTATAACCATTAACTGAATGGCTTTATGTGATAGGCAATCCAACATGATAATTATCAAACTGCCTTAGCACTATCTAAAGTATACACCCAAAATTTGATGTGAACCAATTGTTATCTTGTTATGGTAACTATTCATTTCGTTTACACAGATTGAGCTACTCCAACACCGTGCCATATGTAAGAAGCATTCATTATTCAAAGTTTTGGAGATAAAATTGAACCGTAAACTCCAGCATATTGACGAGTCTGATGCAGAGGATTTTGGAGTTGCAATCTAGTTTTAATGAGCCAAACTGGATTTGTGCAGAAAGACACCTGAAAGGGATAAAAGAATACTGCTCAAATATAGATTATATTAGTCGAAAAATGAGAACTAAAAACAAATTACTAAATTACTAATCTTCTAAAGAGATACTTCTTCCATCTAGATTTTGTTGTCACATAGTTCTAAGTTCTAACCTTTCAAAATCATTGATTGGGCATATAAACACCCTTTTTAGAATTAGCTTTAACACTCTTCAACCAAACCATGAGTGAGAGGGTGGAAGCATAAAGCAATGATAAAATGAAAAATAGAAATACCTTAGGTAATTCATTACTATATTTCTTGACTAATTTAGGACGGTGAACCAATTCTTGACAATCTAATATCATAAATTGGACGGGAATATAAATATCACTTCAACACATTTGCAGGCATCCCCCAACAGCCCAAAACTCTAAATGAGAAGAAGTTAAGGACATTATTCAACAAGACATGACAAATATATACATCCCAACTCTGAGTGAACTCTCAGCGTATTTGAGAGTTTAGAATGAACACATACCATTTCTTGAATATAGTCCTTCGTATTTTCAAATAAGAATATATTATCAATGTAATAGCCAAAGGTAGATCAATATCCAAGGAGAAGATCAACTTCAGCAATGCAAAAAAAATATGATGATCAAATGCAAAATGTAGAACCACTGCAAAATGTAGAACCGTGAGACAACTAATTCAGAGGGAAGAAACTACATTATTGAACTCACCAATGCTCCAGCCTCGGCTGCAGCAGCCAGATGAAAACTGGGATTCAGCTTCTCGTCCTTCTCCATGTGGCCAGCATACCTTTGCTTTGCTCTTCCATAGCTGCAGATGAGTACATACATCAGTAAATTCAACAACACTCCGTAATAATAACTCCAAAACAAATACTGGGTATTACTCCGTATTAGTTTTCTACTTACAAGAAGAAAAACAAGCCCCAGGAAATGGATGATCCAAGAACCGCGGGGAAGAACCCCGCATAAAGTCCCCTCAGACCCTCACAGCGAGCAATAGTGAAGAGAGCGTGAGGAGTGTTCTTGTAGCTTGGCACTGCCATTGTTCTTCCGTCATTCACTTGGAATCGGGTTCGGATCACATCCAGTGGGTGCATCGCGGCCACCGTGGCGAACCCCGCTAAGGCTCCCGCGGCTGCGTTTTCGGCACCGCCGCCTACCTGGCTCGCCATTTTTTCTGGCTTGGCGGCTCTCGATTCGATTCCCCTGTCAGCGCCGTCAATCCATGCGTACGGGTTGAGATTTGAATGTGATTTCGCCTTCTCTGGTTTTTTCCCCTTCTAGTGTTCCAGTGAGAGAAAAAAAACCTAACACAAACATTAGAATGCATGAAATCACACTATAAGTTTTAGTCATTATTAATTAGTTATTATTTAATTAAATTTTTGTCATCACTGGTCATTATTAACATTATTAAGTGTTATTTAGGGAATAAAACAATTTAAGTATTATTTAGAGAAATGACTAATGTTTTAGTGCTATGTAGTGCAAATATTTCTTTTACTAAAACTAAAACAAGGAGTAAATTTTATAAATGGGGCTCCAACTCCATTATATATAGTTTTCATATTTAGTTTCTAATTACGGAGTATCAGATAGTATTTTTATTCCAGTATATTTGTTCAATTTGATTTTTTCGAGTCAAACTGGACAAAGTTTGAACTCCAATTACTCTCAATTTATATTGCATATTAGCATAATCAATTACAATTTAAAAAGTTTTCAATACGATAAATCCAATAAAGTCATTTTCATGTTAAAATATATTACGATTTTTTAATTTAATTGAAGCTCAAAGTTTGTCCAGTTTGACTCGAAAAAGTCAAATTGGACAAATACACTAGGACGGAGGGAGTATTTCATAAATAGTTTTCAATTTTTAAAAACTATTCCACAAACTGTCCTTTTATCAAATATGACAAAATATTTTGAGTAAATTTTTAAAATAGTCTTTTTTAATAAGGTTTTCCTCCAAATTAATCTTAAATAAGCAAAAATTACTAGTGTTGTCCTTTATAATTGAAATACGTTTCCTAAATAATCTTTTATAAAAAAATGTCCATTAAATAATAGTTAAATAGAGGGTATTTTGTTGCTTTTTATTATCAAAAATATGAATAGGTCTTCAAAATAATTTTTTAAATTAAATGGGAGTGTACTAGAAGAAGGAGCCCACCCCGAGTAGGCTCGTGGACTCCATTTCGAAAAAATGTTCATTTAAAAATTATCAATTTAGAAAAAGACTTAATTATAAAGGATCATTTCGAGAACATGTATACTTTAAGCCTAGATGATAGAAAAAATCAAAATTCCTTCTAATTGACTTGCATTAAAAAGACATTTTAGGCAAATGACCATTTGGGGAATAAATCTAAATGGACCACGTTGGTAATGATTACTTATTTGTAGCCTCCCACTTTATTTTAAAAAATCATTTTGAGAACTTATTCATAGTTTAGATAATAATGAGCATCAAAATGCCCTCTATTTAACTCTCATTTAATATGCATTTTTTATAAAAGACTATTTAGGAAACACATCTCAATTATAAAGGACCACGTTAGTAATTTTTTGCTTATTGGGGATTACTATGGGAAAAATCTAATTAGAAAGGACTATTTTGAGAATTTATTCAAAATATTTTGTCATGTTTGGAGAGGGTTATACACTTATACTACTCTAATTACACTAAGGGTGTCATCACTAACATTCCCACTATCCTTACTTCTAACTCAACACGACATTGGTTTTCTCAATTTCATCCTCATTTGAAGGTGTAGATCTTCATTCCATCCCCATTTTTAAATTTTTATTTTTATATATTATAATTATATTAATATTTTATTTAATTATGATCTTGATATAGATCACCAAAAAAAGAAATAAGAAGACGTCATAAACATTTAAGAAGAAGAGATGAAGTCTCCAAAAAATTAAGATAATGCAGACCTTTACTTTTACTTATGTTTATAATTTTACTCTTTATGCTTACCTCTTGTGTGTAGCCTATATATATGGTATTGATCATTTTATTGAAAAATGAGAATAATATTTCTTTAACTTTATCTCTCTATCTTCTATCCCTCTTCTTAATCATTTTGGTTACAGAGCCTCGAGAATATCCTTCTCATTCTTGAAAAGTCTCCATCACAACATTACGATCCGGCGCTAACGAGCTGACAAGAAGAAAGACGATATGTACTGATGTCGTCCATTAGAGAAGCACTAAAAACATTGATAGATCAAATGAAGACAATCACACTTTGGGGGAGGATCGACACTCAAATGGAGGAATAGAATAAGAGAAATGATAATCACCAAAAAAAATTGGACAGATGATTGAGCAGATAAACTCAAAAGTCTAAAGGTGATCCTCTAAATTTGAATGAGAGCCAAAGAAGATATTGGACACAGAAGCACCTTTCGATTCTAGTGAAGAACAAACCAGACAAATTGATGAATGTAATCATATATGTTAGAGCGCACTTTATAATGATATTGGACTAAAGTTGTGTTTGGTTTTTGATAGGTTTTGATGAATGCCAAACTATTATGGATATGAAGAGCTCCGTTGAATAACTAAGGCGTAAAACATAGCATAAAACAAGGTACGAAAGTATCAAGAACAAGAACAACACCAATGAAGACTTAGGTTTTGGTTGAGTCTGTTTATTGTTATGAGAACCGACCTTGATCTTTGCATCTTGGTTCTCCATAGCTAAAATCAGGAAACCATTTTTATGCATCAACCAATGATTTTCATATATGATTTGAGTTGCCAAAAATTTCTCGTTGTTGCCTAAACCAAAACCACAACGTCGGCATTCGGCGCTCGGCTATCAGTGTTCGGTTTTCAGTGTTGATTATTAACATTGATTTTTAGCCAAATTTTTTTTGGTTTCTTATCTTTGATTTTTGCTTTTGGGCACATTTAAAGGTCTACCAAGTGTTTAGTTTTCAAAAACAATAACCTTTGTTTTTCGGCATTGATTATCGACGTTCGACGTTGGTTACCTATGATGGTTTTTGACTTCTAAATCAACCAAGTGGTTTTCAACATTTTATAATTTATTTTTACTTTTGGGCATATTAAAATAGTTTCCCAACAATTATTTTCTAAAAACCGCCATTGGTTTTTGGTCTTTGCTCAAAAACCATAAAAACCATCTTTAACTTGCTGCTCCGTGATTTTCACCTTAACGATGTGGTTTTTAAGTTTTTACACTTAGTTTATGCATAAATTACATGAAATAAGTGTTTATAACACTTGGGTTTTAATTTGGGAAATTTTGGTTTTTGACACTAGTTTTTGGCGTTGGCTGGCAAACCTCGTTTCTAGCAAACCAGGCACAACAACGATGTAGGGTTGTCTACATCGATGTTTTGGTCAGGCCTAAGAATCCAAGTTTTGGCAGCTAATCTCACAACAACGATTTAGGTCTTACTTCATCAATGTTGGAGCCAAGACTAAGAAAACTTTGTTTTTTGGCAGGCACTTTAATTTTGTTACAACAATGTACACACTTGTACATCGATGTTGAGATATGACCGTTGGGGGTGCTTTTAAATCCTAAGGTTGAAAGAGCAATGTAGCCTTGATGAATATCGTTGTTCTTGTGACCGTTGCTCCCAGCATTCAAGGCTTACAATAGCGATACGGGCCTTACAACTTCGTTGTTCTGGGTATCTTAGTGTAGCTGATTTTCTTAATTTCCACAATCTTCGACTAAACTATAATTTGAAGGATTAACCATGGTCACCTCGAGTTTTTGCCTATAATTTTAGCCTTAAACCCCCACTTTAACACACAATTCTTCACACTATCACTACTCTTTCATTGCATAATTCATATTCATTTTTCATTAGCTTATGAGAGTAATTTCATGAAGAAACTGTCGAGTTCTTGAGCGTTCTATAGTTTATCTCTTTATCTACTCTTTCTAGATGGTTCTTTGTAAAAGAGAGAGAATTGAGAACACCAATTCTTCTCATTGAGTGTTGGGCTTGCTAAGAACCCATAATCTTAGTGGTTGAAGTCTTGGGTTAGGAGTACGCGCGGTTGAAGCCTTGTAGAGGATACATCTACAAGCGGTTGAAGTCGTGGAGTGTGATATCGTCGAGCAAGTTGTATTGAGGCTGGTGGGACACGAGTTCTCAGGTTGTAACGGTTTGTTATGCACATATAAGCTTAACGGAGTTAGTGTAACTCGAGAGAGTCTCTCGGGATATTGGACATAGCTACAAGTTGTGGTGAACTAGTGTACATTGGTGTGTTCTTTCCTTACGCTCTTTACTTTCCCCTTATTCTATTTTAATTTCCTGTGATTTTGTTTAAACACTATTTTCCCCTTCTAGCGTTGGGCATTTATCCTAACAATTGGTATCAAAGCCATACTTTTTGAAGGACTTAACCATTTGAGAGGAACGTTCAATGGCTTCTATTGAAAAGATTAATGCAGAAATAGGTGAAGGACAATCCACCAATAGGCCACATTTGTTTGACAAGACGAGCTACACGTATTGGAAAGAACAGATGAGAATCTACTTCCAATCCACCAAATTTCTCTTGTGGCATAATCAAGAATGGTGAGCAATTGCCAATGAAGACAGTCGGGGAAACCTTGGTTCCCAAGATGGAGGATGAGTACGATGCGGAGGACATCAAGAAAATAAAAAACAATGCAAAAGCCATCAACATCTTCTATTGTGCAGTCAATCCGGACGACCACCGGAAAATCTCTTGTTTTTCCACCATTAAACAAATATGGGACAAGCTGGAAATCACTTACGGAGGTATGGATCAAGTCCGAGAAGCTAAGATTGATTTTCTAGCCCCATGAATATGAGTTGTTTGATATGAAGGGGAACGAGAGAATCGATAATATGTTTGAGCAATTTTCAAAAATGATTAACGATCTTCATGCACTCAAGAAATGAGTTAGCAAACTTGGGTGTTACTAAATTGATGTTTGCATGCACAAATAATTTAAAAACATTTAAAAATAAATATCCATTCATGAATATTTAAAACAAACATCATAAATAAAAATAAAGCTTATGTTCGGTTTACGATGTTTAGCTTAAATTATTTTCAATCATTATAAGTAATCAATGAAGTAAAATTAAAGAATCAAAATTACTCCGTATATTTTAAAAAACTATATTAAAATTTCTACAAAATAAGTTGGGACAAGATCATTTGATTAAATAATCAATGAAAATCCATAAAGAAAGTAAAGTTATTTTGACACGCGAATAGTAACCAAGAGTCTTTTTTTTGGACGGATGAAGTACAATTTATCAACATGTTTTGAATTGATCTGATCAGAACATATATGATCTACTTAGATCTGATATGATCTGAATTAGTCTAATTTGATATGATATTAACTAGATATCTACCCGTGCGATGCATGGCCAATGATTTACTTAAAAATTAATAATTATGAAAATTTATTAAAGTAAATATTTTATATAATTTAGATACCTTATAGATTCTAATTGTGAATCTTTTTTGCTATAATATAATTAAATATAAGAAAAACATGAATCTAATGGAAAAAATAAACAAAGCTTAAATGTTTGTAACACTTGTTTGTAATTAACATTTGTAAGTTGATTATCGTCACTCCAAATACAAATTATCAACGCACTTCGATTTGAAACCCGGAATTTTTTTTGACAATGACTAAACATAAGCCCTTTTAAAAATAGTCCCACTTGTTTAAGAGATTTGTCTTTGCTTTTATTAATACATATGAGACGGGGGATTGTTTCAACGCACATCCTATCTTTGATTGTTGTAGCTTTTTCTTCTATCTCTAAATAATTATTATACTCCGTAGCTTATTACACCAAAAATATTATAACTCTATAACATTAGAAACCACCTTATAATGCAAAAGATGATAATTTTATTCCAACATTTAATAACTAAACGTTCTAAAACATGAAACACTGCATGCCTTCAACAACCGATAATTAAACACAAAATGCAACATTCAATTGGTTCAAATACAACAAAAAAGTTTGGAAACACTCAAAAAAGCTCCACCATAAAATGTTGGCGAAAAAAAGCTCCAAGACATTTCATAATATAAGGAACTTCTGGTCAATGACTCTCTACTTTGATGGCACTCTAACAAAATTGTATTTTGAACTCTTTTTTGACGGATATTTCAACCTTGGAGTTTCCTCAAGCATACATGTTTCCTGTCCTCCAATCTTCAAATGATAATTTAAAACAATCTATGATACTCCCTCTGTCCACCATAGATCTTCCCAAACACTATTCACTGGGTCAAACTTTACTTACTTTGTTTGCTCATTTTTACTAGTCATTTCGTAAAATAATATAGTCTTGTCACATCTAGTTTTGTAAAACTTTTCATGTAGTTTATTGTTATATAAATTTTATTTTAAAATTTTACTCCTATAATCAATTATATTGATTTGAAAATAAAGTCAGTCAAGCCTCGTAACGCGTAATGGGAAGATCTTAAGTGGACGGAGGGAGTATTAGAAAGGACAATATAGCAAATAATTATTACACTTAATTTAAAAATATTCATTTCAAATTTAAATTAAAAAACAACTTCAGAGACTAAATTCGAAACTATTGTCCTCTAGATATCTGTAAGTTTAAATAAAACAAAATTGTATTCAATTTTAAACTTGATGAACCAAGATCCGCAACTTTAAGATGGGCTAATTAAAGTTGCATAAAAAATCTACAATGAAATAACTGCAACATGTGTATAGAAACAAGCTTTGTTATCCCTTATGGATTTATCTTATTCTAGAAAAGATCTTTTAAATTTCAATTGGAGTTGTTTCCACTATGATAATGCATATATAATCTCTATTTTAGCTTTGCAGATAGAGTAGATAAAAGGGAATGCTCACAATGAACACAGTAAGCAAACCACACATAACATATGTTCCATAGACAAAAACTCAGAAATCAGAAACCATCCATTTAAATTTCAAGTATGTCAATGAAGACAATAATCACATGTCCTTGGAATTCGTTGAGAGGCTAGGGTCGAATCCTTAAACCTACCCACAATTTTCATGGTCCATGTGTAATCTAATCGAAGTCCTAGAGGTTGTCAATGTTTGTTGCAATGAGGTTGCCGACATCATCTGTTGGCGGTAGGAGACAACTTACCTGATAAATAAATTTATATTGAAATAGAGTCATGTACTATTTTAAAGCAAGTAACATTTTTTTAAAGAGATGTATTCCAAGCAAATCAATGAGAATGGTAAATATTTTGAAAAAATAGTAATCTTAAAAAAAACATACCCGGAGCAAATAATTGAGAATATTGCATTATTATTTGCATCCCATCTTTCCCAGAGTAAGTCGTTGGTATGTTTTTGTGTGTTTTTGCAATAGAAGAACTGTTATTCTAGCATTTAGTGGTACACAATAGAGTTTCAAGATCTTATGAGCTAAATATATCATTCTATATGTGACTTGGATGCAAGATTTAGAATTAACAAAGAAAAAGAATGTTTTTGGTGATTCATAGAGCTAATATATATAAGTAATACCAATGTTTAATAACTCTTCATAATTTGTTGTATAGACATGTTGAATTGTTAAGCCAAAGAGATCAGATCTGAACCCTCTGATCATGGTCCCTGTTCAGAGATCCAACCTTAAATGTTAAGTTAATATGGATTTAGCATAACATAAAAGTATTTGAATTAATGAAACACAAAAAACATGTTACTCCATAATATACTCTTATAATAGAATATTTTTTTGAAAATAAATTACCCATTCTCATTCTTTTAAAAAACACACTAAAGAAGATACTACATACTAGTATTATCTTGATTTGCTCAAACTCATTAGGCAAACCCGCATGTTCCTCATTTCACGTTACAAATAGGTGAATATGGACAGACAATTATATAAAAAATGCAAACCGGTGCATAAAATAATAGGTCATTAACATTGGATGATGTACAAATCATATCATATTCATTTAGGGACTATGACAGTGTTTTAGGGGCGGAGGGAGTAATATTTTCATTACATTAGATGATGTACCAATCATATTATATTCATTTGAATATCAAAATATATTGGATACAAAAATAAAAAGCAAAAAAGAAAAACGGGAACAAAACAACTAAAACTATATCAAAAAAGGAGTTCATTGTCATTCATAAATAAATTGAGCTCATTAATGAATTTTATTTTTTGAAATCAAAGTAAATATGTTAAATCTCAAACAAAGAGTACATCAAAATGTTTATCTCCACCAACCAACCAAAGTATTACTCCGTATTAACAAAACACCTCAAAACAGATACCTAAACCACTACTTTCTAAAGCTTCGCTTTCTTTATCATATGAGTATTGACATGAAACTTACTTTAATTGATGCATTCTTTTACTGTCATATGTCCCCCCATGTTTGTTTTCATTTACTGCCTCCGTCCCATTGTTTTTGTCCAGTTTTGACTTTTGGAATTGTTTATCTAATCACTTTTACTCATCAAATTCTCTCAATGTGTAAGCCTATAAATAGTCATGTGTGATCTTGTTTGATTCGTCTTAACATATAGATTATTAATATATATTTTTTATAATTTTTTAATATACAAATTACAAAATAAAATGGATTAAAGAAGTGCATTGGATGATGTGCCAAAAAGTAAGTGGACAAAGACAGTGGGACGGAGGGAGTATATAGCAACCGGTAGTATAAGCTGCAACCACAATCTGGCCCTCATTTCTTGAAGAGATGTTGCCACCAAGTCTGATCCCACACAAAAATACATTTTCTTGGACACTTTTTTAACAAATAGACTTAAAGAGAAATGATCAATATCCTCTCTCAAATGTTTCTCCCTTGAAGGAAAGACAACAACTTGTAACAATATGTCCTTAAGAACAACAACTTCAAAAGTTCCAAGGCAGAAATGAATTAAAAACAATTAGTAGTGATTAGGACATGAGATTTTAGAAAATCAACTGATATCTGAAATGCAAAAATGATACCAAATTATTAGGAAGTATAATTAAATTAGGATACTTCTTTCCTTTCCTACTAGGATTATTCTTTCCTATTCCTACTTGTACTTTGATTACTCTTGTATTCCCTATATATAGGGCCATATCTCTCAATATTCAATAAGATAAGTTATTATCAAATTGTATCATGGTATCGGAGCTAAGGCTCTAAAAAACCTAGCCTCTCTTTTTTTTTTCTGACCGCCGCCCACCATGGCAGCCCCGTCGGATCCTTTGGCGTCCTTACCCTCCGGAGTAAAACTTTTACTTCGGAGTCTCCACAACTTAATCCCAGAAAAACTCACCGAAACAAATTATCCGGCATGCAGAGAGTTACAGGTCTGTCGAGAAAGTCGATTAGAGGAGGAACCTACCTAACTACCAGTACTTCGTCGGGGGGCGCCAACTATCTCCAAAAACGATAAAACCGTCCCTAATCCAGAGTATACCTCCTGGACCATCGTTGACACACAGATCCGCGCCTGCCTCCTAGCGGTCATCAGCCCCTCCGTTCACAAACATGCTTGCGGCTTCACCACATCTACTGCCCTCTGGGATGCTTTGGCCGCACGGTACAACTCCGTGTCCACCGCTCATGTTTATCAGCTTCGGGACAAACTCCACACTCTTCGTAAAGGTACCAAAACTATGACACAATACCTTGATGATGTGGCAACTATTCTCTCGGATCTCGATGCCTTGAAAGAAGAGATCCCTGAACGTGATGTGGTGAATGCTGTTACTCATCCTTTAAGCAAAACATTCGCATGAACAATACCAATATTTCGTTAAATCAGCTTTCTGGATGGCTGATCTCCGAAGAAATAAACCTGGAGATGGAGAATAAACTCAACCTCACCGAGTCTACCATCACCGAACCTCGCACAACACTTCTCGCTACGAACGGTCGAGGTCGCAGTAGAGGAGGCTACCGCGGTCGACCGTCACCTGGACGTGGATACAACAACAGACGTGGAGAAAGGAACAACGGTCGACCGTCCCAGGGAAACGGTCGACCGTCACGGGATCTGCCAACCTGCCAAATCTGCGAGAAACGAGGTCACTCTGTGTCTGCGTGCTGGTATCGATTTGATGATTCTTATACTGCGAACTCCTCCTCTAGTGCTCCCCGTGCAATGCATGCATCTACGAGTAATCATTCTGGAAACTGGTATCTGGACACTGGTGCCAACACCCATGTCACGTCTGATTATTCTCAGCTACAATCTCCTCATCAATACACCGGTACTAATGCTATTACCGTAGGCAATGGTCAATCCCTACCCATCACACACTCTGGCTCAGGTTTTGTCCATACTCCTAATGGTAAATACCACCTTTTTACTCTTCATTATGTCCCTTCCCTTACCTCCAATCTATTGTCTGTCCATCGATTTACCAAAGATAACAACTGCACTCTTGTTTTCAATGCCAACGATTTCCAGATAGTGGACAATCATACCAACCAGGTGCGGTACAAGGGCCTCTGTGAGCATGGGTTATACACACTTCCTTCCAAACTCCCAACCGTTGCGTATCAAGCTATCCAAGAGTCCACTTGGCATCGTAGACTCGGTCATCCAGCTCCTGCGATTGCCAAATCTATTTTGTCTTCCTTAGATTTTCAGTTTTCAGAGCCTTTACATTGTGAATCATGTTATGTCTCTAAGTCCTGTCGTTTACCTTTTGAATTGTCTGAACATAAGGCCACAGCGCCCTTTCAATTAATACATTCTGATGTTTGGGGTCCCACCTCTGTTCCTTCCTGTAGCGGTTTTCGATTTTATATCTCTTTTGTTGATGATTTCAGCAAATTTACCTGGATTTATCCCCTAAAACATAAATCTGAAGCTTACTCTGTTTTTGTGAATTTTGAAAAAATGATTAAAACTCAGTTTAATTCTCACATCAAAATTTTTCGAAGTGATAATGGCAAAGAATTTGTAAATAACGCTTTTGGCCTTTTCCTTCAAACTTTAGGAGTCCTTCATCACACCTCTTGTCCCTACACTCCTGAGCAAAATGGGGTCGCTGAACGGAAACACCGTCATCTCATTGAAAC